CCCCACTTCCATTGCTCCCCGGGTGCTGTCCAATAGCTGCCAACTGCTCCTACTACTATAGGGTAAAAAGCAGAGACTACACTTCGCTGTGATTGATTTTTGCATGAACATGTGTGACCATTAAAGAGGGTTTAGGATTTCATCCTCCGATTCCATATTCTTTTACTGCTGACTACTGTGATTGCTCAGGAAGTGAGCCGGGCATTCAAATGTTTGTAGTGGCCAAACAGTGGTACTACAGCTTCTGTAATGTCATGGGCCCAAAAATACTTTTTCACCATCCACTAACATTGGGAAAGAGATGTGTAAATCAGCATATATTTTCAAAACAACCACCATGTGTGAAAATTGAATATACCTTAATTACAACATTAAGTCCTTTACAGTAAGTTGTGAAAGGAGCTACATATCGAATACAGAGTTACTTTCCCTCTACAATCATCTAAATAAGCCAAGACCAGCCGTGACACTGCAAATTGGGGGAGGGGCTTAGGGGAAATGCAAGATTAAATGCTCTCTGGACCTAGATCCCTAGTCCTGGTAATATTGTACTTGAGAGTCTGGCCCTTTGGGCTTAATGCCCCACTGAGTAACTTTCATATGAATGAACGGGGCCCCGCCTCCAACGCTGTATCCAGTTTTCTTTATACACCCATGGAATTACGCAGCCACATTCAAGGTAGAGTGGTGAAGCCTATGCAGATGTGTCAAAAACTGCAGTTTATTAAATATACACTTAAGTATGGTTTCAAAATCTCCATGACCCCATTGGTAAAAAATGTACTTTGCAGCAGAAATCAATGTGTATCAAAGCTTTGCTTCTATTTGTAATTTCCCCAACCATGACATCCGTCCTTGGCTGAATTTCTTTAAAAAATGACGATAGTATAAAAAAAACTCTGGAAAGATTTGTTTCCAGTGACAAAGAAAACTTTTAAACACAAAAAAAAGAAGTGTCCTACCTTCCGCCTACTCAACTCACCCAACAACAACTTTAAGGCAGTAGGCGTAGAAAGACAGAAAGAGTCGTGCTGCATGGGTAATGAATGGATAATTGTCTGTCACGCTAAATATCAATAAGTGCATACGAGAAAAGCAATTATTTTACTTGTCTAGTTGGAGCATTATAAATTGACAAAACCTGCATATGTAATTTTCAGAATGTGAATTTGTATAAGAAATTATTTGGTCGAAGAAGATGTCCAAAGAGACACAGAGTGAGGAATGAGAATAGAGAATGGAACAACCTCTGTGTGGCTGAAGCAACGGTAAGAAGGGAGGAAAGCAGAGGGACCAAAGAAAGAGCAAGAAAGAGAAATAACTGGCATCATAACACACTTTGGAGAGTGTTGCTGAAGCGAGGGCAGCTATCACAGCGCAGAGGAAGAGTGAGAAGGGGACAGTTGATCCAGGCACTGTTTGACTGTCTCTGCCTCAGCACTTAGACAACAGCAGGCCAATTTAGTGAGTGGGTGTGTATTAGTTTGTGTTTGTGTAACCGTCTCCATTTTCCGCCTGTCTGTGGATTTGTGTTGCTTTTGTGTGTGTGTGTGCGTGTGTGTGTGTGTGTGTGTGTGTGTGTGTGTGTGTGTGTGTGTGTATGTATCAGTGCAGTGCACTTTTTACATTTCACTGACCTGAAAAGCTCTGTTAATGCTGGATCCACAGGCACTAAGAGAGAGCGATAGAGAGGGGGGAGAGAGAGAGGGGGAGAGAGATTATGAACAGGACTGACTAGTGCATTCTAAATCCACAGGCTATTTGTATAACACATGAAAAGGAACCCGCTGAGTAGCCGATCATCGTGACTTCTAATGTGTGTAGGTTTACCATGAAATTAGTTTCCATTGAAACACTTCGTACTCATAAATCATTTTTAGATGCTATCTCTGTCTTATGTTGATCATTATTATTTATAGTACTTCTAAGAGATATGAGATCCAATCTGAATCCGTGTATCTACCGTCCAATTGTTTTTCTTTATTAAACACGTAAACGGAAGAGCGTTTGAGAGGCCTTTTTGCTTTTTACCTTACTAAATGGTCTAATGGTCATTGGAGCGAGGGGCGGGAAGAAACTCACGGAAGTGATTTCAAAACAAAAGCGGTGATAATATTATAAACAAAGGGAAACAAGGTGAATTTAACGAAAACGGCCAAGACACATATTGAGCCCAGAAAATTGATGTTATTAAAGGCTGTAAATATAATAATCCTCTGTCTAAAATTGACAACATTGTTGATTTAAACTATAAAGCGATTCTGCACTGCGGTCAACTCCGCCGCCTCTCGCGTTTGTTTTTTCAAATCAGCTGCTCTTCATTATTCCTGCTATATTTGACGAGTGATAAAAATATTTGATACCACAAGTTCTTAAGAAAACTGACACTGTTGGACTCGGTTCTAGTTTGACTTCTACCAGAAATAAAATGAAGTACTTTTACTGTGTACTTTATGAGTAATCCTCTGTCAAAGTCCCCTCCATAGTTTTCCATGTTTTTCTGCTATATTTGATGAATGATAAAAATATAATTTCACCATTAGTTCTTAATTAAATTGATACTGTTTNATGAAGTACTTTTACTGTGTATCTTTTTAGAAATACTCTGTCAAAGTCCCCTGCTGAGAACAAAATCAAGCCACTTCTGCTAAGTTTGATGAGGGAATTCTTTTTTGTTGCCATTAGTTATTTGTGAGATTGACACTGTTGGACTCAGTACTAGTGAAACTACCCCCACAAGTACTATGAAGTACTTACTGTGTACTTTTCCAACAATCCTATGTCCCCTCCTGAGAACAAGAATGCATGTTTCTCTGCTATTTTGAATAAGCGTTAAAAAAACCTTTCTTCATGAGACTGATATTGTTGGACAGAGTATTTTAAGAGGATGGTGGACTTAATATCAGCAATACTTCTAGTCAGTACTCCGGCAGCAGCATTTTTACACCTTGGAAAGTCTTAGAGTCTGGCCTGGGTTAGGTAGCTGGTCTATCCTTCAGCACACTGACACACACTGTCACTCTTGTTGGCCTCTTATGAAGCTGCTGTCTTTTAAAATATGATTATTTCTCTGCTCCTAGTTCATTCCTCGCAGATTCTTCCATCAATTCCAGTCATTGCATGTCAGTCAATAGAGCTTCGAAAAATGAGTCCAATTCAACAAAATGTTTTTTTGTGAGTGAAGGCCAGAGCTACATTACATTGTTGGATTGTGTAATTACAAGGTGAGAAAAAATAAATCCAAATCCTCCTACTGTATGAAACGTATTTTATTTCCTTTTCCATGTTATACTTACTTGCATTAGAACATTTGCATGTTGAACTACATGCTGATATATCTTCCCCAGCCTCAAGGAAACACAATAAAATAAATGGATTCATAATTTAAAAAATTGATAAAAATTGATAAATTAATAATGTTGTGTGCAAACATTTCAAATGTAAATACAAAATGAAAAAAAGTTTACTTTGAAAAAACTTTTTTTCATTTTGTATTTACATTTGAAATGTTTGCACACAACATTATTAATTTATCAATTTTTATCAATTTTTTAAATTATGAATCNACTTCAACCAAAGTCAACTTAAATAGTGGGCAAAAATTGGTTCATTGCCATGCATGTGGTGTTTGATATAGTTTACGTTGAATTTCAACTATTTTAGGCAGAAAAACGTATATTGACTAAAACTTTTTTTACAATTTACTATAATTTAGAAAGGTTTTTGTGAGAAATCATTTCAAAGTAAACTTTTTTTCATTTTGTATTTACATTTGAAATGTTTGCAAACAACATTATTAATTTATACATTTTTATAATTTTTAAAAAATTATGAGTCCATTTATTTTAATTTAAAGCCAGAAAGTGTTAAACACTCTTAGTGTTAACCTCACCCTCGTAATGTCCTCCCGATTACTATGCACCTTGTGCCCTCTGGGGTCAAAAATTACCCCATCTGGCTTGTTTGATATTTAACGCATAAAGTATCAAATGTGAATAAATGTTGTGTTACACCTTTAGTTCTACTTCAGTACAACCCATTACCACACATTTCTCCCTCAGTTTTGGAATTTAGTGCCGATAGACCCTTATTTATATGAAATTATAAAATTTTCTGATAAAAAAAAAAAGTGAAACAATGAATTAATTTGACCATATTGAATTGTGACTATTTGTCTTATCAGAGACTGGTATATGTCAAAGTTTAGTAAGGATGCCCTTTTTGAATAATTTATATATTTTTAATGACAACACATAATCACACCTTGTGCCCTCTGGGGTCATTTTTGACCCCGTCTTGCTTGACTCTTATTTCAAGCATAAAGTATGAAATGTCAATCCATTTTGTGTTACACCTTTAGTTTTGCTTCAGTCCAACTCAATACCACACATTTTTCCCTTTGTTTTGGAATTTAGGGCCAAAAAAACAAAGGGAAAAATGTGTGGTATTGAGTTGGACTGAAGCAAAACTAAAGGTGTAACACAAAATGGATTGACATTTCATACNCACTCATGCCCATGCTTGCACATCCACACAGACTGTCATCCAGTCATGCATCAGTACTGTTAAATGCAGGCACACACACACACATCCTGCCTGTATACACACACACACACACACACACACACACACACACACACACACACACACACACACACACACACACACACACACACACACACACACACACACACACATACACAGCAGCGCCGTCCTTGCCAATTCATAAGGGGGATCTGATATGAATAACGAGAAGGACGATGCCACAAGGACTAAATGTTTGGAAATGTCATCAGCGACAACAATAGGAGTTATTTCATTATCCGGGGCAGAGCACTCCATCTCAGCAGAGTTTATCATAGCTTAGGGTTAAACTCTCATGTGATGTGCTAAAAGACAGCTAACCTTCAAAGACGCTTCGCCATCCTTTTTACTGCACAGATACCGCACACTGCCTCTCCGGATTGATCCCCCTGTCTGTCGACTGAGGAAAGATTGTACATGCCTTTGCTGTAAATAAGCGTTCAGCCTACATTGACCGACGGCCACATGCAGGGGTATCAGTTCACTAACAAAGGCCCAGGATCTAATATCTATTTGCCAGCAAAACACTCAGATCTGCTTATATCAAAGAATCCAGACGACAAGTGGAGCAATAAGTGATGACTGAGGAGATGTTGTGTTATTATTGCTCGGTCTCAGGAATTGTTAGAGTTTCATTTGTTGTTGACACTTGTGCCCCTTGAGTACGGATTTGAGCTGCACTGACAAAGAATATCTTATTCTCAACATTAAAATGACCGTGTGACAAGACACGAGGAAAGATGACTAAATCATTCTAATACATAAGGGATACTTGTTTGAACCATTAACTAGCATTTAACAAAAGCTTGCTCAAACCTGATTAGCAGTGCCTCTTGGACAATAAAAAGAAACAAGAATGCTTCTTACACCAAAATCTTATCCTGTTACTTACTCAAATGCAGAATCTGTTAACATAGATAAGATTACCACCTTCAAACAGAAGAAGGTTCTTTTGAGGCTACGCTAGCAGGATGGGCTAAATGATATGCCAATCAATGTGTATTTAGATATGTAACAACATGCCATTATATAAGTTTTTAAAAGGCTTTTCTCAGTGCATATATTGTTCACCAATGTTTAATGAACACATTCATCATAAAAACATTTGTTATGTTATGTGTATGTTAAAAAAAAGATTACCTGCAAATATAATGAACAGATTTTTAAAGGTGTCATTATCAGCCACAGAAATCCAGTATGATTATAAACAGTGTTCATTTTAATCTGATGTTGCATGAATGTAATAAAAACCCTTAGCAAATTTAGTATGTTGGGCTATGAGTGCTCAGCTTTGTGGCTAATGTAAAAATAAAATATGAGAAACATAAACTAGGAATAATGTCAGTGTTGATCTTCCCTTGAAGTAAGCCACCAATTCATTTTGGCTTCAGCTAAATCAATCACAAATCTAACCTTAATATCTACAGAGAATATAATCAGCAGTTAATAACTTGGCAAAAGCATCAGCCTATGGTTGGTCAAAACAAAACTTATCACCTAAAAGTTTGGAAAAGTGATATGAAATGGGACGGACCAAAAAGCTTCTTAATTGAGCCTTAATGTTTTCTCTCTCTTGATGTGGATCTCTACGTCACAGAACGCCGTACAGCAGCAGTCACAGCGTGGTCTCCTATAGGCTAAGCTGCCGTACAGGCACTGTTTCCCTGTGGCTATTTCAAGTCTTGGCCGTCTCACTCCTCAACCTTGGTGTTCTATAGCTGCTGGGGATGAGAGATGGTGTTAACACTTCTAAAGGCGTAAATCACCTCGCTCTCGCTCCCTCTGTCTTGCTCCACCTTACACTCTCTCTCTCTATCTCTCCCCCTCACTGCAATGTTGTTCCTTCACTCGCTATCTGTGCTAAGAGGTGATTGGAGTCTTCCCAGTCTGATAATGGACCACATAAGCACACACACACACACACACACACACACACTCACACACACACACCTCTGTACAGCCACAGAGTAGGGAGTGAAGCAGAGAGAGAAAGAGAGAGGAGACTCATCAAGTAATTAAGGCCCTGGCTCTCCCTTGGAAATTAAAGGAATGGCCCTTTGCCCCCCTTCTCTCTCCCTCCTCTCTCTGTCTCCCTCTCTCTCTCTCTCTTCCTCTTCCTGCTGGGCTGATTGCTGTCTGGCTTCTCTCCTCACCTGAGTATTGCACTCTCTCTCCCAGGCAGCCAACCCACAATGCATTGTGCTTGTGATTACCCCACT